TTAAATAAATGTAATTGTAATATAAATGTAAATGTAATAAAATAAAAAAAAAAAAAAAAAAACGTAAAGTGTATATCTACTTTTGGCCCACCATTTATAATTGGTTAATTTAGATTTTACAAAAAAATTGAAAGTATAAGCTGGAGGGAGTGGTCTTCTTCAAATCAATGACATAATTTCAGTTCTATGTAATAATTTAACAGATGAAAGGCATTTAAAATTTGATACACATAAAATCACTTTTTCAACTATCTACAAAGGAGGGCTGAAAAGCTCTCAAGTCAATTAATAAATTCTTTAAAAAAAAAAAAAAAAATGTTATAAAGTTTGGTAATTTAGTAACGGTTGAAACAAAAGCTTTTCAACACCCAATCATATTAGTAATTTTGTTTTATCCAATGTAAAATATAAAGGTTACAAATATATTATTATAAAATATCATTATTACGATCTCATATTCATAAGAATTTATTTATAAAATATGTATACTTGCACATTCTTACATGTATATACATAATTTATATGTATCATCCAGAAATTTGTTATTTAGTAAATTATGTGTAATAGCTGTGGTCTGGAGACAATGTGAAAAGTAAGGAAACGATTGACTGTCCATCCCTTTTTCATGCAGTCAAATCACAGCGATTTATAGCGGTTTTTCTTTTGCTCCTGTTCTCCTCCCTGTTAATTCTACTAGGAGGACACATTTCTTTGAATCAAACCATGCTACAATATCAGGGCATGTGTCTGTCTGAATGATGTGTACCAGAAATTGCAGAGGTGTTCTAAGATCAACTAACACCCTCCTCCAATCACAGGATCCACTCAGTAGTGCCATGTTGAGAGTTATTTGGCTCTTTCATACAGGGCATTCACCTTCCTTGTGTGTATTTTCCAATAATTTTCATCCTGTATAAGGCCCAAGAGCCACTCGAGGAAGAGGGTTACAGAGTAAGATATAAAAAATTACACAAACCATTTTTTTCCGGATTTATTTAAAATTTAAACAATAGGGATATTGAAATCAACATTGAAATGACAGTTTAACATTGTTTCATATATGATTTTGATACTCTTTTTTTTTTTTTATATAAACAAGTGCTCGATTTAAAATACTTTTAAAAGAGAATTTTAATGTGCATAAAATGACATTTTTTGATTATTTACCCATTAACCAGAAATAGAATGGGATATAATAATAATAATAATAATAATAATAATAATAATAATAATAGAGTGTCCCCCCCCCCCGTTATGCTATCATTTTCAACAAAATGTCACATTTCAATTTACTTTTATTATTTGCTGTATTTTTGTTTCTTTAACTTTCAAATCCCTTACATGCCAAGGAATTATTACCAAAATAAATATAACTAGACGACCTATAAAACTTTTGTGTTCCTTTTAAAAGCAGCCTATGATATAAAATAATGAGATAACAATATTATCAGTTTTATTATTAATTATACATAATTTCTATTGCTCACTTTATATAATATTACTTAGATCAAACACAATAAGAAATTGACAAAAATTTTACTTTTTTTAAAATGGAATTGCAAACTGATATCACACTAAAGGTCTTTCTATTCAAGTAATAGTAGCCATAAGGTGACAATACCAATTTTAGTGTTTACCATATTAATATTATAATAATAATAAAAAAAACCCATCAATTGTCAGCTTAAGGAGATTCATATTTATTAAAATAAAGTATGGATGCCTCCTTTTTTTTCCACTTTGTTTCATTTATTACAAGGTAATTTTTTCAAAATAATATTTTTTTTTATTATACATACTTGTTTCTTCCTCACATTTCTTTCAAAATTCGTAATGGCAGCAAATCAGTCTGCATCTATTTGTTTATTTACCATCAAGTCATGTGACAATTTTGCATCCATAACAAATACAATGACACACCAACATTGACACTTCACCCATCAAGTAGCTGCCAAAGATCCAAGATATTAGTTTCTAAAAAAGTTCTAATGTAGTATAGTGAATTATATAAATATATGTTGTGTTATGCATATTTAAATTTATTTAATAATGTTGTTATAATGTATTATGAATGTTTATTTTTCAAACACTTAATAGTTGGAATATAAAATGCAAGTGTTTGTTTATATGCGCAGATTGATGCAAGAATATGTAAACAGTTTTTTTCAGAAAATTAAATTTCTAAAGCCCACTAACTGTTATTGCACTTTCTAATACTGACAGGAGTTTCCTTCCTAACCTTTTTTTGGTTTGGTTTGGTTTATTTTGTTTAATGACATATCAACCTCAATGGGTTATTTAATGCCAACAACATTTTTAGGATAGATTCATATGAATAGAATATGTATTCTTTAGTTTAGATTGGTTTGGTTTATTTTGTTCTATGGTATATCAACCTCAATGGGTTATTTAATGATGACAAATTTTTTTTATTGTTGGTAATATTTTGTTTTGTCAAAAATCTGTTTCTAGTAATATATTTCCTTCAAAATTGTATTGCTGGTAATAATTTCTTTCAAAAAAGTATTGCTGGTAATAGTTAACTATTTGCCCATAGCTGGGACCCTAACAAGTGCTACCACCCCAGGTCAGTGTAGATCTGGGAAAACCAGCAATTAAGAGGTGGTTCCATGCTCCTCAAAACCTCCTGATCAGAGGCCTTTTGTTGCTGGACATAGTTTAACATCTTACCCAGGACACGCCTTTTTTTTTTTTGGTAGTGTGGAAAGTTAACATCTTAATTATATCATTATTTTCCCTTTGTTACATGTGCTATCCATTTTTTTGCTGTTGCTGTCTTTTTAAAATTACTGCGTGGTCTTAACTTACATTTAATTTATATGTACAACTTAGTAATATTAGGAGTGAATGCTAAAAAGTCCTTGGCCCAAACAAGAATAAATTTTTTTTTTAAATTTGTACTTTGGGAAGTGGGGTAGACCAAGAAATTTCCAGCAGCATCCAATTAAGGTGAGATTATGATGCAGGTATAAAACTGTTTAGTAGTACAAGTCTCATATTTGTCAGTCTGTGACTGATTAAAAATACAATGAGAAAATTTTTTTTTTTTTCAAATTGAAAACTGAAACTAGCTTCCCCCCTATGTGTCAAATAAAATGGAAATGATGTGTTTATATGCAAATAAAATAAACAGAAAATAAAACATAAAATCATATTATTTGTTGTCCTCTTATAGTAGTGTAAAATAATTTTAAAAAAATTAAAATTAAAAAGATTCTGTACTAATTTTGCTTAGTTTATCTCATCTTATTGTTGATGCTTTTTATCAAAATACTCGGGTCACTTTTACATTCAATATATACTAATAATGAAGGGACATGTTTAGTGTATGACACAGTGCATTCATCTACTTTTTGAGACAATGATTCAAGAGATCCGATTGTGAAATTGATTTTAGAGATAAAAATCACCAGATAACATCAAACATGTCATGTCTTGCCAAATGAAGCAATATTATGTTTGTTCCCAAGATCTTCATACACAACATAAGATTTGCCTTAGTGAATTCAAGTAATTAATTCATGTTGACATTACACCTCAAGATGACCATCAACAAGATAGAAAGACAATCTCTCAAGATCATTGGCCCTGAATACTCAAGTTCTCCATGTTCTTCCATATGGTCAACTTTATGTTGATTATTTTAGAGGGGGATCCTAAAACAACCTTTCCATATTAGCACCCAATATGAGAAATACTAAATGTTGCCTACCCAGAAGCCCTGTCAAATTAAGGGATTACATTTGTTTACACACCAGTATATTTTTATGTGCAAATGATCTTTTTCTTCATTGGTTATTTTGTAAAAAAAAAAGAAAGATTAAACATTTTTTTTTTTTTTTTTTTATTGTGCTGTTATATTTGAAGTTATTTTCTCCAGGGGCAATACCAGATGTCCCTGATAAAGTCCATTAAATAAACAGTATGTATTAGAAATCTAGAACTAGCCTGTGACAATATCTGAATTCACATCCAAGATTATTTGCATTATTCGGACTATTGTCATCATCTTTGTCGCCATATTTATTACAACGTTTCAGCCGTTGTTCGCTCCGGCCTTCTTCAGGTGGTTGGAATGTCAAACTTAACCTTTTATTTTGCTCACTGGGGTAGACTGTTCTAGTTCCATGTTTAATGGATGTCAGTTATCAGTTAACTCCTGTTAATTTCCCTCTGAAAGTTCTCCACTGCCTTAACCATGTATTGAACTCACACTCTTTGGAACCTGACACTGGATCCAACCAATGCCTTTATCCACTGTGCCATGTGTCCTTGATATAATGTAAATAATGTACATAATACCTTATCTTAGAAATATAGACAGATACATCCAAGATTCTAAGGACCAATCAGATTAAAAAGGTTGTAGCTCTATGATTTAAGTTAACTCCCCTTTGCTGGTCGGTCTCCATAAAACCAGTACGGCATTGTCTAAGTTGAACAAACACCCAAAGACATGGAATACAAATACAAATTTTGTAGGAGACTCCCTCTTTCTTATGAAATTTGCTTTCTTAACAATTGCAGAATGAAAAATGTCACAAGTCAAATGCAACAAAAAGCAATAAAAACTACCATGTTTGATGCCATATAAAACCCAATTTTCTTCATCACAAAAATGTCTTGGAAAATATCTCTTGAGTTTTATATGCAAAGTTTAGGTATCTGATAAGCTAATTTTTATCACATCATAAACTACCAATATTTGTACCTCACCTAACTCCTTAATATTGTAATAAAAAATTTAACTAGGGGAGGTTTTATTTTAAAAGAAAAATCATCATATTTGTTACATATAATCATATGTAATTATGGCTCTATTAAGGAATATGTCTGTAATAGTTATAAAAAAAATTACCAAAAAAACAATTGCCTGTACCAAGCAGAAATCTATAATAATGTCCACTGTTATTTTGATTACCATCAATGAATCTCTCAATAGCATTTGCCCCACATTTCCAGGTGGGCAAATAACTCACCTGCTTGATCTTCTCAAAGGTAGAGCAGTAAAAATCCACAGACATGGGGATGAGGATGCCATTTGGCATGAGGAAGTCAAGGCTGATCTCACCATTAGGTTTGACCTTTGCCGACACATCCGGCATTTGTACCACCACCATGGTGAGAGAGTTTTAATTTCACCACCTACAAAGAAAAAGAAACAATTGGCTCAGTTTTTTTTTATGTCAACAGATCAAATTTAGAAATACACAGAAACAATTCAAGTAACACACATTCTCTTGGTAATTTTTTTTTTTTACAATGCATTGGGGTTTCATCTAGTGATAGCCAACTTTCTTTTTTTCATAAAAAGGGAAACAAAAATGAAGTCGCTACAGTAGAAAAGATAAGAAATTATTTGAAAACAATGAATGAATTCTTAGTTGGGAAAAACTAAGAAAAAAATTCTCAAATTCAAACTGTGCCATATGGGACAATTTTTTTTCTCCAGAATTTATCTTACATATCTATAAGCTTACCATTCATCCAGGCTTAGAATATGGTTGCCACATATGGTCCAGTGCCCAAAACAGAATCTCAGCAATATTATTGGTCTTGATCTGGTAGTTTGGCTTTAGTCACTTTCCCCACCGGTATAAGGTTACCTCTATGCCTTTTCTATAAATACTTTCATGGTAATTGTTCAGATGAGCTCTTCACGATCGTACTTAGACATTTTGAATTTAAGCATAGTACTAGACTGGTACCAAGACCTCAAATTTCCAGTTGAGCTAGCTAGATGGAGGCATGAGTTCTATGCTAACAGTTTTTCTTGTTTGTGGAACTCTCTTCTGGTTCCATGCTTTCCAGCCAACTTTAATCTGCAAAAATTTATGATGTTAATTTCCCCGAAACTGTTGCCACAGAACTTGATCTAATGTGTAATGAATGCAGTTGCCTCTAAGTAACACAGGCCTCAAAAATCATCATAGACACAATACAGAGGGAAGACATTCGTTACATATTATGCGGCATTTATGGTAATAACTATTGCAAAAGATGCCCAACATTGCGACATCTGTGCAAGATAAGGTAAAATCCTACCAAACCCTATATTTGAGGATGGATCAGATCAAATCACAGCAATCATGTTGCAAGGATAATTCCCAGGACCTATGTGAGAGGATATGCATAGTGTATATTGTACCAGATTTCATGGGGTGGGGAGCAAAGGCAACCCAAGATTTTTCTGGAATTTCAGAAATGCATTCACAGGAGTGAATGCTGAAAAGTTTTCAAATAGACCAAGAAGAGATTTTTAAAAAAAAAAATCCTCATTGGATCATTTGGTTAGGCTTAGAAAAATAGGTCAAAACCAAAAATTTCAGCATTCACACCCACCCATATGTGGAAGACCAATATTCACATTTCATTTAAGTCTTACAGCTCATAACATAAACACAGCAGTTGATAAAAGCTGGATGACTAATGGGGAACAAAACCCTACACCATCGAGAAAGAAACTTTATACTCAACCATTGACAATATTCCTCTCAGAGGTTCTTATGACTGCTTACAATTCAGTCTATTATGGAAGGGGTGCTACATTTGTTGACTCACTCTAACGAAAAAACAAGTGCAAACCAGAAGAAACTGACAGATATAACATCATACAATGCTTAATAGAATAAGGTATTAAAAAATTACCATGACAATTAAACATAGCCCTCGGATCATGCAGAAAATAAAACTATACTAGATACATTTACCTGAAGGTGACTATGATATAAACAGGCTAAAATATTTTTAAACAACATTGAAAAGAAGAAAAAAAAATAGTAAGACAATACATAAAGTATTTACCAAGATATGAATAAATTTGAAAATAAAACCATGTAAATTATCTCAAAAAATTTCTTAAATAATGAGACAAAAACCTATTTTAAAAAAAATATTTAAGAAATTTCAAGAGCACAAGAAGAATTTTTGATTGTTTGTCATCAGATATGAGCTTAAATGTATAAAACATTATAGAAATACAACAAACATTATAGAAATACAAAAAACTACAACAAATTTGTTAGGCCTTGTATTCTCTCAATCAGGGTTTTTTTTTTTTTTTTTTATTTATTTACAGACATCCCAATAAAAAGCAGAGTTTTTTCTATTATGAAAATATTAAGTCATGTTAATTACAAAGAAACAGGAAATTTATCCGGAACTCAAAGTATTATAAACAAATGATATATGCTATGAAAGTCTACAAGGTTGCCCCACCCTTTAAATCAAAAAGAAACTCAATGCCTGCGTCAATGGTGTCACAAGTATAAAATAACATTGAACAACATTCAGTCAAACAACAAATGATTCCCTCACTTGTTTTCAACTTACACTTACAAAGATAACAGTCTAATTTAAACTAACTAGACAGACTGACACACATATTGCTGGATTGCATTTGTAGTAGTGCTCCCAGTTTTCATGATGTCCTCTGAGGCAGGGTTAGAGTATATAGACTGAAACATCCTTACTACAAAGTCAGGGCACCTCACAAAGATCACACTATCACCAAATATTGAAAGTGTCATTTTCTACATTATACAGTGGGGGGAAATAAATATTCGTACAATTGAAAAATTGTATTTTTATAAATGTAAAAGCCTTAAATAAAACAAATCTCGGCACATTTTATGTATAAAGACACATACTATTAAAAAATAATAATAAACTTAATTAATTCTTATTCTAACAGAAATGATTGCATTTTTTTTTTTTTTTTTAATTCTAACTGGTGAAAAAAGTATTCGTACAAATCAATTATTAGAATAAAATAATCAATTATGAAAAAAGTATATTCTAGAATGTTCCAGTAATGTTATCAGTAAATATAGTTAACGCTATTAGCCATTATCAGAGCAATCTGCAATTTTTAGTCTTACGAGAAGGTTCTAATAACGCCTAAAGGTAAAGAATTTACTATTTCACAAAAACAACACATTTTGTCTCTTTGAAAAGATGGGAACAGTTACAGAACGATTTCTAACAACCTGAATATTCCTTTTACTACAATTGCTTTGTTCATTGCAAGGTTTAAAACTCGTAACAGGGTCGAAAACCAAAGACGACAGGTGCTCTGAGGAAGATTTCTCTAAGATCAGCAAGGATATTAGGACGCCAGATCCAACAAAATCCACAGGTTACCCGAGAAGAGCTGCAGGAACATCTGCATGCATTAGGGATTAAAGTAACCAAGCATACAATAAGTAATGAACTACACAAAAACAGTCTGAAATCATGCATCCCAAGGTGGCGGTGGTGGCAGTATCATGATCTGGGGCTGTTTTTCTGCAAAAGTGTTGGCAGAATATCAATAATAGATGGCAAGATGAATGCTGAAAGCCACCAAAAAATCCTGCAAGACAATTTAATGCGTTTTGTTGAGAGACTTCAGCTACCTCCTGATTGGGTTTTCCAACTGGATAATGATCCTAAGCATACCGCTAGATCTACAAGGAAATGGTTAGCTGAAAGTAACGTTGATGTCTTGCAATGGCCAAGTCAGTCCCCAGACTTGAACCCAATCGAGAATTTATGGCAATATTTGAAAATTCAAATTGGGAAATGAGCACCAACAAATATCAAGAATTTGAAGACTATATGCCAAGAAGAATGGGACAAAATACCACTCAATGTGTGCAAATCATTAGTTGAGATGTACAGGAATAGACTGGTAGCTGTTAAACTCAATAAAGGATATTCCACAAAGTATTAAATTAAGTTAATATGCTTTTTTTTGTTTTGTACGAATACTTTTTTCATCAGTTAAAATGAAAAAAATGCATTAATTTCTGTTAGAATAAGAATTAATTAAGTTTATTACTATTTTTTAATAAAATGTATCTTTACAAATAAAACGTATCAAAATTTCTTTTAGTTAAGGCTTTTACATTTATAAAAATACAATTTTTCATGTGTACGAATATTTATTTCCCCCCCACCACTGTATGCTATATATACTGAAGTATAGTGCAAGTTTTTATGATCAGTATTTTACACAAAGAAATAGGAGCTTACACTATACACAGTTAATTTTTTTTGAAAAGGTTAAAATTCATGCATTTTCAGTAACCGTTTACACAATAAACAGGTAATATCTCCTGTGAAAGGGTTAAAATTCATTCAAAAAATTCAGTTTTTGCACTATACATAAGTAAATATGGTACTTCACCCAAACAGTTTTCCGTCCTGGGTATGACAATAAACTACATCCAACAGCAAGACCTCTGATCAGGAGATTTTGAGGAGCGTGGAACCACCTCTTAATTGCTGGTGCTCCCAGGTTCACTCTGACCCAGGGTGGTAGCACCTGTTGGGGTCCCAGCTATGGGAAAATAGTTAACACCCAAACTTGTGTAAAAATAGGTTTTAATACCAGAAATACTTTGTAATAAAAAAAAAAAAAAAAAAATTAAAAAAATTATTACCAGCAATAATTTTCGAAAGAAAAATTATTATCAGCAATACTTTAAAAATACCATCAATAAAAACAGCTATACATTCTTTGAAAAAAAATATTAACAGTTATAGAATTCTTCAAGGAAAAACATTCCCAGAAAAAAATTTTTGAAGAACATATTACCAGCAATAAAAATGTTGTCGGCATTAAATAACCCATTGAGGTTGATATGCCGTAAAACAAAATAAACCAAACCAATCTAAACCAAAGAATACATATTCCATTCATACGAATCCATCCTAAAAATGTTGTCAGCATTAAATAACCCATTGTAGTTGATATGCCGTAAAACAAAACCAAAGTTTTAATCTTGACCTGCTTCTGAAATTTTGTAATTCATCCATCCTATAGAATCTGAGATATTTTAAAATTAAATTCACAATAAAATGAAAACAATTTCAGCTCAGAATATATTACACTGTTTCTTGGAATCTTTCCTGGATATTTTCTTGCAAAGAAAGTGAAGACCTCTATGAGAAACATATTCATGCAATAGAACAATTATGTCATACAGGAAGAAAATGAGTAACTACCGAACCTGAGGTTCAAGCATGACACTCTGAACTTAGGAATATATGTTTTTCACCAAGTGTATAAATAGTGATGTCAGGCTACTGACTGAAGTGATTACTGAGTGACTATCAAGTG